GACACAAGTGAAGAGCTGAGATGTTTTTGCCGCCATTCTTTGCATTGTTTGTCTTTCTATTTTTAAACTGCAGTCACTGGGCTTGTTAGAGGCTCAGATGTGCCGCCTTTTCCGTGTTCTGTTGTTTCAGAGCCTTTTAGTTTCTATTGGACTATTGCCTGAATCCTTCATACATGTGACTAATAGTGACCCACCAGTGGATAACAGTGCTCAGTGGTGGTGTGTAAGAGTATGGGGCAATGGAACATGATATAGTCTTTTCTCAACAAGTATCCAGCGTGCATGGGGCAGGAGTTTTGAGAATGCACATGTTGAAGGTTGACTACTACTTTCCTTTAAGTTGTGCAAACACTTTTTGGTTAAATCTAAAGTCAGAAACTGGTGAGATTCACTGGAAAATCTTGCAGATAGAGGCTACCAAGAAGTGTAAACATAAACCCAATATTCATACTTTTGATCGGATAATTTTTGGGGGAGTTGAAGGCTGGGTCAATGTCTTGAAATGTGTTCTTTTCCATTCCCATTGAGATTTTGTGGTGTGTTTACTGACATCATTGCTGTTGGTTGGTTGGTCCACTCGGTTGTGGACGTGAATGGGGGCAGTTGCTGATCCAATCACACATTTTCCAAGTCTGCTTGGGCTCCAAGGCTGCCTCAAGGAGTATGGGTTGTTGGTGAACTCTAGTGCAATGTCTGCATAGACAAGTCTGATTGGTCATCTTGATAAAAATCGAACAATTTTATTAAGGTCGCCGGTCAGTATACAAATGAGGATGAAAGATGGCTACTTGCCACCAGCTTACTTTTTAACGTGAAAAGTGTGTTACTCTGCTCAGAGAAATGGGTAGATTTTAACATTTCTTTGAAAGCGTTTTGGTTTGTTCCTTCACTTCTTGTGTCATGATTGCAATGAAGATGATGAGGTTAATATAATGGGTAGTGTTAACAAGTGTTAATGAACAGATTTCAAGATTTTAGCATGTATTTAGAAGGAATTTAGTCAGGCAAAATCACACCTAGCTTCCCTTCTTCAGCCTTAATGCAACAACAGAATCAAGAAAGTCCCCTGAGCAGAAAGTTTGTCTGTCTGGTGACCCCCACCAGAAAAGTCAAGATCAAAGTAGGTCAAAACATCTGCTGAATGTGCATTCATTTCCCAGCTGATGCAAATATTACTGTAAAAGTCAAGCTGGATGGAAAACTAAATGGGATTTACTAATTTCAGAACAAGCAATCATCCATATGGCACTGTATCGCATCACATCCACGAGGCCTCTGTGTCAGCTGTAAAGCTGGATTTGCCAAAGAAATTACCAAGCAACAAGCTCAAACAAACAAATGTGGTGAAACTTTACAGAAGAGCTGCATGTCTTTTTAGGGAGATGTCTGGCTTTCGTGGAATGGATAAATTCTTACCTTGTCAGCCCATCCATGTTGCTATAATTGCTTTGCAATTTTACTGTCACATGTTCAGCACACCATCTTGCCTGGAAAGCAAACTCCTACAGGGCGCTGGAAGTCGAGAGGGTATCAGCGGGTTGAGTTTTCGTCATCAGGGTTATGTGAGACAAGGCTGGGTGTGTGGGTCAGGTGGGTGTAAAAGAGATACTCTCGCTTCTCGTGGCCTAGGTGCCAAACTGAAGCATGATTGTGGGGAGGGAGAATTGGACTGAGCTGCAGATAAAGTGGAAGTTTAACTGATAAGTTCTGACTGTTTAATTTCTATGGCTGAACTAAAACAGTTTCTCTTTTTCAACACAAATATAGGGTGTTTTTGGATCGTAGCAGATTACAAATTTATACAGACAATTTGGATGATCATTTTGAGTCAATGCAAATGATCTGTGTTGGGTCGGACAGTGTAATAAAAGTAAATATAACAACGACTTGGTGGAGTCCATCTTTAATGCTGGTCAAGGATGAAAGAATAATGGAGATGACTGTAGACATGGCACTGATTGTGTTAGTAAGCAAAAAAATGAGGTTCTGGGCAGAAGATGGGCTGCAAAGTGGCTTGCAGAAGTGCAGCAACTGTAAACAACTTTTCACCATATGAGATTTACCAGTTGCATGCATAGGATGGTATCAGTTAAATCACCTTAGTACTCAAGTTTAGTTAGTTTAATGCTCTGTTTGTGAGACAGTGAAACTGTGAATATGGAGTTAAAAGCTGTGCAAGGAAAGAAGAAAACCAACCTTGGTGAAGATCGTTTCCAGTATTAGCAGCTGCCAGCAAATGCTAATATGCAATACTTAGGCTGAATAAGCTTTTCCTAAAGACCTGCCAAGAATAGGGATAAATCTGGGATACGTCAGAAATACCACATTAAGTCACACCGTGCTGGAAGTAATTTTTTTCTTTTACAAATGTCCAGTCCCTTTATCAGCATGTGCTGGTAAATTTGTATCAAGTTGCACTCAGAAAGAAAGAACAAGCTCATATTATTAGTGACAGACTTTCAGCGTAAGTCATTGGAGGTAAACGTGGCCTTAAGCTGCCAAACGCTGCAGAGCCACTGGGCTACAGTAGTGATCCTACTTGTATTTGTTAAGCTTCCCCTTCCACACTGTTTACTGCATCAATCATTCACTGGAGTTAAATCAGACTGAGAAAAGAGTTAGGTTCTGTGTAAAATGTAACACAGTCTACAAAACTGTCAGTATTTTGATATTTGTTGGTTAACTGGTGGCTAAGTCAGTAGGCTAAATAGACAGCAGGAAAACAAAGGTAACAAGCTACAGGTGAATTTAATCAAACACTAAAGAGGACAGGGCAAATACCAAAGGAAGGAAGCATAAACATAGAAAGAAATATGAAGACCTAACAAGAAGTAAACCAAAAAGGAGACCAGAATAAACTTTGACAACAACGAGACAAAGGTGCAGGGTAGACTGATGCTTTCTTCTGCAGAGTGATCACATTTCATAGGTATATTTTGGTGTAAGAGACTGCTCACACTGAGTTTGAGATCTTTGTAATAACTGGGTCCAGATTTATGCTTTTCTTTCTGCAAATTCTTGCTATTTATTTCCATCATATTCACGAGAAGATAGTAGGCTAAACAGCTCTAGAAGTAGTATTTTGCTTCCTGTTTGAGGTCGTGAGAAAGCACATCAATCTGATTTAAGTCCAGATCTTGACTAGGCCATTACAAAATATTTTTCTTTGTTTTTTGAGCCATTCAGAGGTGACCTTTCCAGAATCACTGTCCTGGTGATCGATGTTTCTGGTGTTACATTATACACTAGTAGATGCTCATTTATCACATTTTAGCTTTACTAATATTACAGCCGCATTGTGTTACAGCCTGGGGAACTGAAAGTAGCTAAGAGAGGAAAGATGACTTTAGCTGCCTCATACTCATATCTATTTATCACACATGACCTACACACGAGCCACACCTGTGCCTTTCATAGCTGTTTTACATCTGAAGAGAACACGAGAGGCTGATAGTGGAGCTTAAATAGGAGGTGATGTTCGGGAACTCCCATCCTGGAGCGGAAAGTTTTATAAATCATCAGGTGGCCCAGAATTCCCAGCAGTGCCACAGCATGGAAACCAGTTTCACGTTCCTATTCCCATCCCACACCTGTCTGCACAGTCATCGTGCCAATGTTATTGTAGGCTTCCTAATTTAAACAATGGCATTTGCATTGGAGCGGCTTTTTACTTGGACTAAAATTTATTAATGACCCTCAACGAAGCAGAATTTCAAGCCTCTGACAGCAATGTAATCCCCTTCTTAGTTTGTCAAACGCTG